CGAAAAAAATACCATGGTATTACGATAAAATGTTTCTATAAAATCGGAAATCCACTAGGTAATAAAAACTTATGAGAAATCTTGTATTAGATTTTTAAACCTTAAGTGTATTTTTAACTACAAAACAATTTTCAGACTTTTGTACCACATTAATTACGTACGTTGTACGATGAACCTATCTATCTACATATTTTCGTAAGTTTGATAAATGGTGTAAAAAGTTTAACTTTAAAAGTCAAGTTTATTGCCAATTTAAATTTCGGTAGTTTTCAAATGAGCAGAGAAAAACAAACAAAAAATTAATGAAAACTTGAAAATCTAATACAAAGTTCTTAGTATATTCCTAGGTTATAAGTGGAAATTAAAAAAAAATTGGAGCATACCTAAATCCACAATAAGTTTTTATGTGCGCTTGAACTTCAAATTTTGATAAAATACGTATAATAGGTATTATCATTTATCATGTACAAATATGATAAAATGTAAATAATATTAATTCAACCTACCAGCTACAGTAATAATAATAAAAATAGATATAAATATAATGTAAAATATCTTAGGTAGACAAACCGTCTCCACTTAAAATAGGTGATCGTATTCAATGATATATCATTGAATTCAAATTTAACACATCCATTTTAGTGACCCGCCAGACATCTAATGTACTGCAGAGCGTTACCATCACTTCCTCCTTTTTTAAAAATGTTTTGGCACTTGAAAATGTATATTTTTTATATTACATAAATAATAAAAAAAAACTGTGCCCCCATATCTATTAATTTATATTAATAAGATTAGCTGATCCCGTGCACTTCGTTGTCCGTTAAAAATGTCATCTCTATATAAGAGACTTGATGATGGTATAATGCGAGCAGTATATTATTAGGTGGGCAATCCACCTGCAATGGATTGCTGAGTGCAGACCCCGCTATAGGTGCATACTATATTGCTATCTATATGATTACCTATATGAATAATATGTTTTATTTTTATTTTATTTTTTATTTTGATTGTGGACACTCCGATGAGCGGGTTTAAGTGTAACTCAGCCTCCTTGGTAGGCAATGTGCGAAGATTCGATTTGATGCATGCTTTTGCCCGATTAACCATTGGCAACCAAAAAAAAAAAAACACTAATTTCCACTAAAAAATTAAGAAAATGATTTATTAATTAAAATAAACGTGTACATTGTACATTTAAATTATGTGTTTTACTTGATATTATATATATTTGACCTGCAGCATTGCGAGTTCCGCGACTTAAGTTTGTGTGCCGAATGGCCAATGGGTGACATTTTTAAAAACAAAAATATTCCATCAAAACTTACCAAAACTCCTAATATTATTACAATGCTCTGATTTTTTATGTCAATTGCATGCATTTCATCGTTTAAAAGTTATATTGATACTAATATTCGGTAACCATAGTGTTGTACGCTCGGTGCGTATTATTATGATTATTAATAATATTATTATTACTATACAAATTTACACGTTAAGTAATAAAAAAAAAATTTTGTGTGAGCCACCATTAACACCTATTTGTTTAAAAAATAGATTATGACCTATTCTCAGATCTACCAAATATACTCTATAAGAATTCCATGAAAATCAGTCATGCCGTTTCGGAAGAGTTCAATAACAAACACCGCGCCGTGACCGAAGAATTTTACATCTATATTAATATTTAATATTATAAAGAGGAAAGATTTGATTGTTTGTTTGTATTGAACAGGCCACGAAACTACTGAATCGTTTTAAATTAAATTTGGTACATAGATGGTTTAGACACTGAGAAAGGACATAGTCTACTTTTTAATACTAAAAAGAGCTATAAGGGGTTGAAATAGGGGATGGTATCAATGTATATACGCATAATATATAGGTATTTATTGCATAATAATAATACGCACCGAGCGTACAGAAACACTGTGGTCTATGGGTTACCATCTTGCATCTTACCGAATATTAGTATCAATTTAACTTTTAAACGATAAAATACATACAATTGACACAAAAAACAGAGCATTGCAAATAATATTAGGAGTTTTGGTACATTTTGATAGAATATTTTTGTTTTTAAAAATGCCAGCAATTATACACACAAACTTAAATCGCGGAACTCGCAATGCTACAAGTCAAAGATATACTATATCAAGTAAAACTCATAAAAACCCGCGATAATATAATGCTCGCATTATCACCATCAAGTCTCTTATATAGAGATGGCATTTTTAATGGGCAACGAAGTGCACGGGATAAGCTAGTATAGTTTATATATTATATTATTAGATAAGTAACTATATATCTTGAAACTGTACGATTGAATGCAATTTATAGGTTGGTAATATTATTGTCATAATGTCGTAGATAATGACGTTAATGTATATTATGTCGATATGTGTGTTAGTATAACATTTACATATTGATTGATACATAGCTAAATGCCTAAATATATCATATTTATATATAGGGTATCTAACAAGTTATCTATAGGTATTAGGTAGTAAGTACAATAATGGTACGTCATTAATATTGATATGGGCGTATAACCTAGAGTCGCCTAGGTATAGGTTTTACAGTTTTTGGTTAAGATTTATTATGAACTAAAATAAAGAGAACCGCAATAGTATTATAGGTACATTTACCTACCTACTTTTTACATATTCTAAAGGAACTATTAACCTATAGGTATAGACCTACGGTAGAAGTTTTTAAAGAACATATTTTTATCTTTAAGAGGATGTTACCCATGCGTTTGTTGCATCAATATTAATATTATAAAAAAATATTTTAAGTTTTTAATATAAATCATGTCATTTTTTACTGTGCGGCACACATTATATTGATTGTAAACATAATTTCTTTATGAATACAAATGCAAACAAAACAATTTAAGATTTTTTTTCGGTTGAGGAGGTATATTAAGGGATGCTCAAATTTTGTTTGCTCTGGGTGATAAATAACGTAAATTCGGCATTGGCTGTTTATCAGATGACGCGTGTCGAATGCATCAACTCGTTATTCAATAGGTTACTGTAGTCTGGAATGGTTGTGTTAAATTTGAATTTGATAAATCATTGTATGTATGAATTATGAATTAAGGTCCTGAATACCTGTCAGGAGTCACACTCTATTACTATTATTATATAATTATGCCATTGATTATAGATATATCTGTACTCAATGATTATACCTATTTCAACATGTGTAAATAACCAATTACAAAGAAATGTTTCAAAAAAAAATTGTGCTATAAATATGTATTTTTAAAAACTTTAGGTTCTGTAAAAACAACATAAGAAACCATGTATTACATTTTCTTGATTTAGTCATTAAATTGAAAATTGGGTATACATTTTTTGGTGTTTCCGCACAAACACTACCAACACCGCACAAAACGTACCTATTACCTATAGGTTATAGCTCAGTACCCACACAAAAATGGTAGATACAAATTCATCATATCTCGTAACTTTTACCAATTTTTATTTGAATTACAACACTAGACATAAATTAATAGATTATTTTGCTAAAATTAAATATATATTCAGTAGAACTCGCCGAAGACGCTCATCAAGAGACCAGCTCTCTAGAGCGTCGTTGGATGACGCTACACCCGCATGTGTTGTCTCCGTCTTACAAATGTAAGATATAGCAAAAACTGTTTCACGCGGGAAAGAACCGAGATACCTACAGTTATAACAAGGGGCCGGAAATATATTCTTTTGCATACCTATTTTTTTTGAGCCCATGAAGTCAGACAAAAAGTCAAACAAAAGTTTGAAATCTTCACAAGTCATGAAACCGGTTAATTAATGGCAAAAGTTTTTTTTGCATATTTTAGAATATTTCTTATAATAAAGAATATTAGAGAATATATCGATTAATTTTTATAGATATTTGATATTTTTTGTTGCAATAGCGTAAATCTTATGTTGATATATTATATACGTAATATTACCATCGTAAATCGTATGATCATTATGCCCTAATTAGCATAGGCGCAAATTGACTAAATTTTTTGGGGGGGACTCAAGCTCCCCTCCCCATAATAAAATGTTGGTAAGTGATTCAAGTATTGAATTTATTATTATTTTTTCTATTGATTTTAATTTAAAAAGAAATACATGTATGTATGTTTGTATATTTTAATTATTATTAATAAATGTATATATTTTTGTTTGCTACAGATTCCGATAATGGGTTTCTTTGACAAGAAAGTTTTCCATTTTGTTAATATAACCCAACATTTCTTCAACATTTTCTACAGAGAGAGTAGGTACTTTTCGTATTTTTGATAGGTGTTGCAAATCACCAGTCGATACTGGATTAATACTCGACTATACCACTTCAACGAGTAACATTCCTATTTTTATTTTTTATCATCTCACATCTCAAATTTTTCGTAATCTGCTGAATAAAAGAGTGTCTATCCGATTAGATAGAGAAAACTCAAGTAACTTAAGAGGAGGTTTTTACATCGACAAGTGTAGGAAATGTTTAGGGACCTATGGAAAACAGTGTCTTAAGGGAGTTATACTTTAATTGTTGAATAATAAATTTTGTTCAATATAGATAATTATACATAGATTCAGAAAAATAATTATAATTACCTAAAACAAGTGTTAAACTTTTATTCTCATAATATATAAATGTAGAGTTTCATGCATAGATGATTGAAATTCATTCATTATATAAGGTGATCCATTTAAGTGTGTAGACTTATGATTTTAAAAAGTTGTATCTTTTTCTTAATATTGTTTTACTTAACAATAGTATTGAAATAATAACAATCTATACATGGTTATATGGTTTTTAAATTTTTTTAAAATTTTTTCGTGATGACTAAACGTAAACAGCACTTATCATAAATTCTATTTATAACAAACTGTTATTAATATTTTATTATAATTGAATAAAAAATGATAAAATGTGTTGGCACCAAATGCCTAAAATAAACGGGATGTACAAATTGTATTGATTAACAGAATCATTATATTATTCAACATACTGATAAACTACACTTTAATAAATATTATAATTATAATATAATATAATATACATTATGTATTCTGGAAATAGAAAACGTAAAAGAAATAACTACATAATTCTACATAACATATTAGAAATTATAATACATATTTAAATTAACCATAAGAACTAAGATCAACCATAAAATATATAAATGTATGATAACAAATTTGTGTCATTTCAATATAATACTTTTTTTTTCACAAAAATTACTTAATTTAATCAAATCTTTGCTTAAAAATGTTATTTCTTTCAAATCTTTATCTTCAATTAATTCTTCTGCAAAAAAAAAGAAAAATATAAATTTATTAATGTTCTAATAATATATTATGTTTATATTCTTTGCTCACACAAAGAAATAAAGAAATATGAGTAAATCAGATTAAACACTCAAACTACAAAGTACCATAGTCCATTTTAACATTTTAAAATACTATTTAACTAATTTAAAGTTTTATCTGTTTTTAAAATGTATCCTAAAATTAAAGCTACATGCTACGGTACCCGCCGTTTTTCCCAAAATAAAATTTGTTTAAAAATTTAAAAATTTTGTTATAACTAGGAGCTATGAAAACTAGGTATGTATACTAGCTATTGCTATACATTCTAGTTTATCAATAATCATTTTTTACGTGTGATAAAGGGACACATGTACAATCATATAGTATTTTATCAAAAAGTAAGAGCTCTACCAAAAAGAAAATGGCGGGATTATCAAAAGCAAATTATGGCTATTATTGCTGATTTTAATACATACCAGCCGTTAGAATTTTTGAGGGCAATCGCGCATAATATTGTTTTGTAAGTCATAAATATTATAATAATAATTCTGTTTTTACTTTTAAATGTATTTTTTTGTGTATTACAATTTATTGATTTAAAAAAACTAATGATAATACTACACAATTTATTACGTTATTATAAATTTTATCAATTAAATTTATTTTTTATAATATGCATTATAATTTAACGATTTTAAAATCGATTCGGGTAAAAGGTGTTCTGTAAAAAAGATTTGAGGTCTATGGACTTTCAGAAAAAATGCCATTCGGGAAAAGGTTCAATCTGTAATTTCGATTCGGGAAAAATACCAGTAACCACATGCTACAAATAGTTTGTATCAATAAAAAAAATTTAAAAACAAAAATAATACAAAATCTAAGATTACAAAAAATATTTAATGAGCTAAAATAAACCCACCATGTTAATGAATAATAACCTTAAGAGTTATGAGTCACAGTATTGGGTCAGAGCAGTTACTTATCACAAAAAGAAATTGGTATACCAAAATTATTATTTGCTTATCAATTAAACTTTAAAGTTTAAAGGGTGATTATCAGTGATTTTGCAGAAAGTGTGTAGAACAAATATGTTTGAAATAAGTATACAGAGTAATTCAGTAAGTGTCTTGCATTCAATATTTTCTTAATATGGTTCTTATACCTATGTATACTTCACTATCATTGAACGTATTATTTACAATATTTTTAAATTTAAGCAAACAAAAAAAAAACATTGACACATATATGAAATAAATTATAAATAAATTGAATTTATACTTACTAATTTCTAACATTGAATGAGGTGACATAACATTTTCTTTGTCTAGTGCTTGCAATGTCAGACTTTGAGTTCTCATAATTTTTCTTAACAAATCACAAATGGCATGTAACCTATTGAGTATGATAACTTGAGTTTGAACTTTAACAAATAAATCTACAATTTTACATTTTAGTAGTTCAATTGATGATTGCAAATTCTAAAAAAAATACATTAAACAAACATATTATTTCCTTTATAATACTTTTATACTAATTAACAAAAAAAATATTATTTGTTTAGGATGAAATAGTAGCTATAGTAGAATATATCAAGACTATTTGTAAATTAATAATATGTTTTTTAGTTACACGATTATTGGTGTAATTTTTATTTTAAGAAAAACAATCATAGGTAATCTAGAAAATTAATCTCTAAGAATTGTATGTGTTTAAAAAATATATTTTGTAGATACCTTAAATATTTTATGACATAAGAGTAGGAAAAAATGTCCAATGCTACACTATTAAGAGCGTATGTTCACACGAAGGACACAGAAGGTTACTGAATAAAGCAGAACATGTGAGGGTCACCAACATCATTAATTATAAATTGATATTATGTTAAGCCTTTATTTTCTGTAAAATGTAATGGTTAATTTTAAGATTATTTAATGCATTTTGTTTATGTTGAGCGTGGGACAAAGAGACAACAAATAGTGCAATTTTTCCTGTTAATATATATATTACTGTACAACCTAACTTAGTCTGAGAAATAATGGATAAATATATTAAAATACAGAGCTAAACAGGTGTTTGGTGGTTTTAGTGTACCTCACGTTAACGGGTGTATCGTCATAGGTGTACAAAGGTTTGTAAAAAAATTTGACTTAAAATAAACAACCAATCACAAATTGGACTTAGCACTTGGTATATTTTTTAATTTAGTTCAAACTATTCTCTAAAATTTTCTGATATGTCTACAAATGTTTGTTCAAACTAGTCAAGTCGAATTTGAGTTTAAAAGCTACAAACATACATTTGGTTTCACGATATAATTTCTTTAATCAAATCATCTTTTCGAGTAACCAATGGCAACCATTTGTAAACAAAAAAATGTTTGATTTCCATGGTTTATGTACAATTAATACTTGAGTGACTGTGTGAGCAACTCTTTAAAATGCAAATGTTGAAAAAGCCTTTTTTAATCCGCCATTACATTGTGGTACAAACGTACCATCAAAATGTCAAGTCTCTAGCTATCATAGTTTATGCTCTATGTAGATCAGTCAGGACTTGTTCAATTAAATATTATATAGATTCAACCAAACTCTTTAAAATATATTACAATTTAATCATTTTAATTTATAAGTGATCATATATTTACCTGGATTTGTGATGATATTTCATTTATGATAGATTCTAAATTTTCAGTCCATGTCACTTGATTAAATAATTCTTCATGATTATCATAAGTCTGATCACATATAAGTTGGTCTACATATTCTAATCCTAAAATGTTATTTATTAGGGTTGATTACACAATTGACTATCTAAAGACCTGATTAAACTAATAAAAAATCTATATGGTGTACAAGTTAACTTTTTTTTACCTTTATTCAATTTTTTCAACTGCTCTTCTGCAGTAAGCTGTACAACAATGTTCTTACATTTATTTTCAGTATTAACTGTTACAAATTGAGAGAGATAATCTAGAAAATAAATTGATATTAAATATGTCAATTAAATAATATTTTATTCATTACAGATATTAAATTATAAATCTAATTTTGAATTTATAATAATATAAAACAGTTATGTATAATATTTTAAACTCAATAAACAATTTATGACCAACAAATGATTGCTTATTCACAATTACATATTAGGTATCTAAAAATATAGTAATAAACCATTGTTTGTAAATTCCTAAAAATCTTCAAAAAATTGTATGATTATTCTTCTAAAATGAAAAAAATTTTTATTTTTGAAAAGGATCAATTTCTAAATATTTGCAAAAATACAAATTATACTAAAAAACAAGTAGCGAATTTCCAAGAAAACAAGTAAAATTAAACTTTATTTTAGTTTTACTGAATAAGTGATATAGTCCATTTAAATAGAACGCCACACGACAAAAAACAAATTGAATTATATATGACGAATTTCAAAACCTAACAATTTATTAAATAAATCCGAATATTCATAATTTGTTGTGATAATTTTTTTAAACTCACCATCTTCTAATATTGTTAGTGTATTGGGCACATCAGAAATATTTGGTATAGCCATTTCACGGATAGTTCAATTGCCAGTCATAAGACCGTCGACAAATAAATTTTTTAATAAAGTTTTTATTGTAAAAAATAACAAGAAACGATGTAATTTAACGAGTTCAAAGTAAAGCCTTCAAAATACGACGTGTCGACATGAGCAACTATTACAGCTCAAGACGCATAGATAAATACTGTCACAGCAGTTATCATTTATCAATGTTATTGCTTATCACTAGATACCAGATTCACATCACAGATAAAGTTAATTTTTTTAATTTTTAACTTTAAATTTTCATGTAATATCTGAGATTCAATCATAGAGTTGTACTAGTTGTAGTTGTAATAATATAGGTAATTGATCGTGTAATACTGTACTCGATTATAATGCTATCAAACTTTATAATAATTTTTATTCTTTATAATCGTAATACGCTTGGATCATATTATAAAATTAGTAATATAATATGATTTAAGCTCAATGGATTTTCCACAATTATAAATTTCTTGCAGACTAGAAAGTAGAAATAGTATAAGATATAACGGACTGTAAATATTTGAAAGATTGTGTATTGTTTGTTCATGGTTCGTACTTACATCAAATAATTTATGATAAATTGATAACATATAACAACTAATTCTGAGCGATGCAGTAAAGTTATTGATTTTAGGTACATAGTTTTTAAGATTCTGAGTGGAGCGATTAATGCATTAATTGTACAATGATGTGTGTTCATTTATTTTCTCATATTTTTTTGTGTCACGTTTTTGGACTGTAAAGTGCTTCAATTGCAATAGCATCTTTTCTCATAGGAAAGTGAATTCAGTTGGTACTGGGGGGTCAAAAGTAAAATTGAAGTGAAATTCCAGATTGCTGGAAAAATAATCGAAAATTTAAGGAAAACAGGAATTTTTACGGAAATCCGGTATTAGAGAAAATGGTTTTGGTTTAATCTAACTCTAAAAAAAATATTGTAGATACCTACATAACATTTTACCTGAATGTTTACACCGCAAATTTTTGACTATTATTGTTTTTTTTTTTAAAACTTATGTCTATAAACAAAATTTCCCCCCATTAAAAAATCTTGAAAATGTAATACAAGGTTCCTCGTAAGTAGTTGTTATTGGAAATTAAAAAAAAAGTGAGCGTAAATCCACAATATTTTTTATGAGCTCTTGAATTTAGAATTTTGACAATTTTAGAAAATTATTTTTAGTCAGAAATTTATAAAATATTTTCTTTTTATATCAAAGATTAAAAAATTTAATACAAGATTCCTTTCAAGTTTGTCTACCTTTATCGAAAATAATTTTCTACCGGAAAGCCAAATTAAATTGTTATGAGTGTTTGAAGTTGAAATGTTTATAACATTGAATATTCACTCCATTTCTCATATATTCTCATTTAGTGATTTTCTTACTTAGTTGTAGGTAATTCAAAAACAAATTACTACAGGTACTTGAAAAATGTCAAAATATTTTTGAGCTGTTAATGGACATTTAAATTCATAAATTTGTTTAGTTTTTTTTTCTATAATAATTGTCAATCAAATTGTATTTGTTGGGCCAAAAAGCATGATAATTTAGTGCAAGACTCTTGATACATTGTTACAACTTACAATATCAGTTGAAAAATATTAAAAATACATTTTTGTATATGTCATATACACATATTATATTTTTTATTTTATATGCATTTAAAGATCAAATTTTGACAATATTTATCGAATTGAAAATTGTAAATGATTTTGTAGTTAAAAATGTATACAATTTTTAATTTTTATAGCTAAGGATTGAAAATTTAAAACAAGTTTCCACTTCAGCAGATTTTTCCGTAACTAAAAAATCTAAAAAATATATGAATACAGTTACTTTGTACAAACATTTATCACTGATATAATAGAATATTATGATCTAAAGTCATGTACTTAAGTATTATCATGAACTTATATATATTATATTTATCTTAATTTATGGTATTATGCGCTAGTGCTTCACAATTCACATTATAGGGACCTACACAGATCGTGGGGATATAGGGCCATCCCTAGAATGCACAGATAGGTATCTTTACTAATTACTAGAAAGAGATATCTTTAGACTTTGGTTTATATAAATGATCATAAAATTAATGGACTAATGAACTATTGCAATCTTATACCCATATGGAAACGACAGACAAGACCACAAGTAGAGCACTATAACACAGAATAAAATATAGTGCCTTACCAAAAATCATTGGATAATAAGTAATAACTATTGTTAATTAGTTAATTTTATATTAATCTTATGTTATTTATTTTTATCAACATGTTTCATTTGATTTGTGATAATATAATCATTTTTAATATCATTTTCATTATCATCACAACAAATAGGTTATGGCGCATAAAAGAGCGGGAGTTTTACCGATAACTATACAAAAGATACGGATTAAACCAATTAGTTTTATTTATATTATGTATTCAAGAATGGTAAATTAATGTTCATTCGACATTCCGAGTTTTTGACTCATTAATGTTATCGGCTTTGAGAACAGTGTTTAAAATCCAATTATTATTGTCTGTGGAGAATCGTTCATTACAACTAGTTATTTTTAATTACTAGTATGATTATGTAGCAACTTCAAGAACATCTTTATTGATTGTTGCTACTTGTAGATGTTCAATAACATTACTACCAAAATATCGAATAACCGTATTTAATTTTGTTCATTGGTTCGTGGTTTTAATTAGTACATGATTCATTTTACACCAGTGGAACTATGGACACGATTGATATGCTCAATTATTTGGAGAAAAGAAAACTTGGCTATGCCGGTAAGTTTTATAGTTATGCTATGGACTGGCGTCCCGCTTTACCTTTTCATAATACAATTGATAGTACATTTCTATACAACCACACAATTGAAAGGGTAAGCCAGGTACAATGATAAATAAGTATCTGAGTAGAGCAGGTCTAAGTAATAAGGTAGGCTGATGATTATAGTGCTTAAACCATATGAAGAAAATTAAAAATAACAGGCATTAAGATTATGTGATATTGCTACAGTGACGTTTCCAAAATAACAAGTCATTGGGTTTATGATTAAATTAAATAAACTATAGAATATAATATGTAATACTGCAGTTATAATAATACTTATGACACTACGCAGTAGATAATCAAAAATACCGTAGCACCAGGACGTGCACTCATGTCAAAGTGTGGGAGGTACGCATTTCCAAAATGATTACCGATGGATTTTACATCCGTAGGAACGATACTCGTATCCATAGTTTTGTTAATGTTCAATATGTTGGTTTGTATTTCTTCATGTTTTTCTGACTATTAAGCAATTTATAAAGGTATCTTTCTCAAGGACAGTCTTTGTTAAATTTATAGGTAGTTAATATAGATTTAAATGAGTACCTCAAATACTAAAAAACACAATGATAAAATCCTATTGTAAAATCAACAACTCCCTTCTCCCTTGGACTCTTACTGACATATAAATATAGTTGCTTTTTAATTCAATTAATTTTATTATTTATTTACTTAAAGGATTTCAAAGCAAATTGAGTGACATGCTTATTGAACAAATGGGTTATATACCTGAAACAAATGATAACACACACAATACAGATACTAATGTTGGGAATACTTTTGCTTGTAAGTTCAGTAGGAATAAAAACAATTTACACATAGTTGGTGTTTCAACTGAACACGGAGAAATAATTGTTCAAAATACTGTAGGTCATTACAATGACCAAAACAAACAGTTTAAGAGAAGTAAGTTTTGGAATCTAAATTTAAAATTATTTTAATTTTAATCCTGTAGTGATTTTTTGGAACAAATAAAAGTAAATTATATTAATTTTTCAATTTTTTTTTTACACTATTTTAAAGCATTGGATCTGAAAGTCTGAAAATTATTGTTATGTATTTTAATCAGCTGAGAAATATAGCTACTAATTAAAAATGATAGAAACATTTTAATAAGGCTACCACAATTGTTTCTTATTTTTTGTCATAACATCCAATGGAAATAAGAATGAACACTTTCAGATTTATACATTTAAAAAAAAAAAATTAAAAATAAGCATAGATACTAAACCACATTGATGCCCATTTAGTCTATATTAGTTGTACCGATAAAAACGTTATACCTACTAATTATTATATGTATAATATTATTATAATGTCTACAATTATACAATTGTATTTAATATAATTCTTTTAAAAATAGATGCTATACATGACAATGCTATTTTTAACTTTGCATGGGCTGAGCCACAAATGAAATTAATAACGGCCTGTGGAGATCAATCCTCAAAATTATGTAATTTAAGCCCCTCAGGGGTACTCGATGACGAAAGAGAATTTATTCATAATTCTTCTGTTAAAAGTGTAATGTTTTGCCCTGGATCTTCAGGTATGTATAATGAAAAAAATTAATTGTTTTGGCATTACTAGCCTCTAGCCTAGATACATTTTTAATGTTATGGGTTTTTTTAATGTATATAATATAATACAGTTTTTGATACTCCTCTGCAGAATATAGTTCAGTGACTAAATATTTAGCTTAAATATTTTTAAACCAATGCTATTAATTCTATACAAAAATAGTTAAGATTAAGTCAGTTTTATAGCATAGATAGAGGTACTAACTAACTCTTACTTTAATAGTTTTATTATTTGTCTCTAAATGGTTTATGTTTCAATATTTTCCCACAAGTTTAATGAAAAAAATGGGAAATTTCAAAAATTTATTGTCTCATAAAGTACTTAGGTACCATTTTTATTCCTTTTTCAATTAATGGAAGGTGATGAGTTTTTAAATATTTTACTATCCAAAAAACAATACTGCGAGTTACGGAGGTAAAAATCTAAGTAAAAACTCGTGGGTCACTTACAATTTGACCCGACTTGGTAATATATTATGGCCGAAAATATTTGAAGACCCCACACTCTGCACAATGAAATATGAAAAATAATAAATATTATGTCTTATTGAAAAATGGTCTGTTAACTTTTTTAGGGCTGATTAAAATCCTAAAACTCAGTAGGCCAATTCATTGTCTACTAGGCCCTGAAAATATACCCTACTTGAGTTTAAAACAACTTAATGAAAGTAATAAATTAATAATAAAATTGTAAATTTTAATTTATTGATGTTATCTGTAGATGTATTTTGTGGTGGATGTCAAGATGGTTCAATAAAAGTTTGGGATGCACGTTTAAATAATTCTCAAAGAGTTTTGGAGTTTGAGCATAATATACCTAATACACACGGTAAATATAGTTAATAGTTACACTGTTAATTGTATTAAATGTTATTTAACAAAAATCTGATGACTATTACTTTTATCACATTATCTTAATTGTTTACTAATACAATGACTATAAAAAGTCAAAAAGTTAATTTTATTATAATTTTATTATACTAACCAAATGTCAAAAGTATTAAATAATTTTTTTTCCTCTACTATATTTTAGGTATTTATAGATCAATGTTAAGAAAAAAGCAATCAAAAAAAATGTTTGGAATATCTACTGTGATATTTAAAAATGATCAAACGGTTATATCTTGTTCTTCCATGGATCAGTTAGTATTATTTATTATATTTTATTGAATTAACAAGTATGAATATAAAGTAAATACGATAGATATATATATGAGAGCATATACTAGAAAAGGGTTACCTGGTTAATATGTTCTTATTATTGAGTGGTAGTGATAGCATCAAGTAACCAAACTTAGTAACTGTCAATTATGACATCACCAACCGACCATTTTTTTTATGTTGCGGATATAGAGGGTACGCTCTCCAGTAATGGTATTCTTATCCATCTCATTGGTTATGTATAATTTACTCAACCCAATATTTTTTTTATTTTTTTTAGTGATATCAAATTATGGGATTTACGTAGAAGTTACCGCCAAGTAAATGGTAGTACAGAACCTCTGCCAGTCATGAAGTATTTTAATAAAGTTAAAGTTTCATCACTCTGTAATGGTTATACAGATATAATAACAAATCCCCAATCTACCTTAATGTATGCGAGTTGCATAAATAACGTTATTTACTGTTATTCACTGGATTCTACAGAAACACGTATTTTATTTTTATTCTTTATTTTATTTAATATTAGTGCTTATAGGTTATTAATAATATTATATGTGGATTTGTTTTATGTGTCTGACATACATAAAAACTAAGTTAGCATTAATTGTTGAGCTTAACATTATAAGATATACAATCCTTTTATACACTAAAAACATATGTATGCTCTTATTGGAAGGCATATTTTGTAGTATAATTGTTTGTCCATTTTAAACTGTAAACTGAATTATATTTAATAGCTTACTATATTATTTTATATTTTATTTATGTTAATCGCTTTTAATTAAGAGGACATCAGCTCACCATTTTGTTTTCTCTCAATGACCCACCCACAATAAATCAAATTTTTGCTTAGCAGAAACAACCCTGTGTCGTTCCTTTCAATATTAGAATGAATTCACCTATTATTAAATTTTATACTAAGAACATTATAGTGTCCATATATTCGCTTTTTAACACTATTTTAATTTATATACCGTTTATAAGTATTTTTAAATTGTAATAATTTACACGCCCATAACTTACGTAAAAAATAAAATATCTTAAAATAGCCAATGAAGAGACACATGTGCTGTTCTTATTTTAATGTTGGATAATAATTGAATTCACTCTAATATTAAAATTTATAATACAGGATTGATTTTGCTAAACTCATAGGTTAAAGAAAGAAAACAAATAGTGTGCTGACATCCTCTTGAGTTAGAAATATTATTCCAGTATAGTATAATATATTTGTATCATCATATTTTTAGAGCCAATATGCGAATACTCTGGTCATTCACATGAAACTCCGTACTCCAAAATTAGTATTAGTCATGATGGCCGTTATCTGTTTACTGGTTGTATGCGAAATATGGGCATAATATGGTTGACAGATTTTCCATATAATAAAAATCCAATGTTTGAAATAAAACATAAGTATAATCAGATAAATTATCCAAATGAATTAAGTACTTCAGACTGGTGTGCAGATCCTACAAGTCTTAAAGTGAGCTTTGTTTTATTTATTTTGATATATTTTATTCATTGTTACTTAAAAATGTATTATTCAGGTTAAAACAATAATATCTATTTCGGTATGATTTTTACTTTGGTATGTGGTCTAATAAACTTTAACAATAATGAACATATATATTATGTAAAATTACCTAGTTTATTCTAGTTTGTTCATCGCAAAAAAATTTGCAGGTCAAGCCAGTATGGTCATGGCCTGATCTAATACTAACTGGAGAACATACTGTTTAATTATTTTGTAATTAGAATTTTTTTTTTTTATCATTTGGCCTGTTCTCATAGAATTTTTTAGTTTTGCATTTTATTTATGTGATAATAATGTATACTGTATATCTTATGAATACTTTTTAGCAGTTACAAGTTACTTATAAATACTGAATAAGTATGAATAACAATATTCTGAAACAAAATTGTATTATTTAAAATAGTTCTTTTTTATTATGTTACCTACCACGTTATTATGACAGTTGTCAGATACTGTTGAACTAATCAATCATCATTATATATTAGGACTTAGTCTTCATTTATTGATAAATACAATTAAGAAAACATGTAACAAAATTAAATAATTCACACTGTTAAATACAAGTAAACAATTTAAAACTTATACTAAATTGAATAAAGAAGATAACCTTATGATAGTTTCAATTTAAATTAAATGTTATTGTTGTAGACTCATATCAGTAATATTTATCTGAATATTGATATGTATTTATTTTTCAAGTTGGCAACAAGTAGTGATTCAATGCCAAAGTTATGGTCAATACTTACTCGTGAACAAAAAAAATCTGAAGAATATTCAATTTGCCGAACTGCATTGTATAAATCAAAATCTTCAACAAAAATATGTACTGTTCCAATCAAAATTGAAGCTGAACTCTTAGAAAAATATAAAAAAGAAACAAGTTCGTACCATTTTAAAACAAAAATAATTTCCTGTATAATTTAGTTACTTTATAAAAAGTGTACTGTTATATCCTTATGATGACCCTATTTGTGACTTACAACTATTGTTTCATCATCTGAATTTTAAGCCTCTAAAAATCATCCTAACTAGCATATAATCCTATATCCCTATATCCTATTCCCTGACTGTTTTCTTTTCTTTCCAAATTGAACAACTACCAATTGTAACTATAATTGCAAATCTTTAAGGATGTAATAGGAGGTAATAATTCCCTTTTTCTAACAATTGTATATGCTGTTTGTTACTCTCTAACACTTCTTTTTCGGCAGACTTTTCTAATTTGCAAACATAGTTTTCAATTTTTATTTTATTAACTATTTATAGGACAATTAAAGCATTTTCTATTAATATATAAATTTGTTCTTAATATTAGAAGAAGCCATAGAAAATTTGGATCTCCAAAATCAAAACTTTGTTCCAAATGCTGAAAATTTAAATGTGATTCCTAAAAAACCATGGGAAGTTTTATTTTGTTCAAAGACAACATCTCCATTGTCCACTCAGATGTCACCCGAGTCAGAAAAAACATCCACACATTCTGCGGTTGTGATTCCTAATCAGATCCCAGAAGTAGTTACACCTACTTCAAGTAAAAAACGAAAAAAAAGTATTGTATCCCCTAAAAGTTTAATCGACCAATACTTGGTGCCTAAGAGTAAACGTGAAAAATTGGATACTGTTCATGAAATATAATTGCTAATTAAGATAATTAAATTGAATAAATCCAAAGATTATTTTATATAGACTGATTATTTTTATGTAAAACAAATTTTTGTTTTTATTTTTATTACATTATTTCTGATCACAGTGTTTATATATTAATTATTTTTTGTATGAATAAGTTAAAAATATGTTATTTCTTAAGTTGCCATTTTCTTTATATTATATTCTATTCTAGAAATATTAAGTTAATGAAATACATTAGATGTTGTAAGCTTATTTTTGTATTATTTTAAGAAGGTTATTTGTCATGTGCATTGAATTGTTATGCTAGTGTGGACGAGAATTTGTTATAATATGGGAAGAATTCTGTGTAAATTTTTTAATTTGAAGGAGAGTTTTAATTTTTAAGACTGTCAAAAAACTAAAATTCAGAGCATTACGATATTCAGTTATAAAGATAACATATTTTATAAACTAAAATGTTGTATAAATTTTAAAAATAAACATTCATTGACTTTGTTAATAAAATTGGATTAGTATGATGTTTAAATAAATACAATTTGACTATGAAAAAAATACTTGGTAATAATGAATCATACTTTGCGATCAATAATTTATTTTGTTAAACTTTATTCCTATTATATTTTCAACACATTTTGTATTGTTATTATATTATTTATTGACAAATTAAATTGTTTAGTGAAATTCGTAAGTCTTACAATATGTACGATTAATTATTGGTTAATCATAGTTTTCTCCCAGCACTGATTATAACTCCATATGCATGTTATTATATTGTAATTTGTAAAGATTTATGATTGGAAATATAAGTAATGAAATAACCAACAAAAAGATGAATCTCTGTTCCAAACCTTTTGGAACATATTAGTTATATATTACTGATATAAGTATTTTCACAAGTAATTACGACAATTTAAGTTCAAGGAGTATTACCATATATAATTTGTTATTTATGTAAAAAAATAATTACCTGCAAATTGATCTTCATTTTTATTATACTTTATAAGTTTAAAGTGTATTCTTAAAATATATTCCCTACCTACATAAAATTTAAATTTAATCTCCTCAAAAATCGTGTTCTATAAACACAAGCTTTTATGATCTATATTACAAATCTACAATAATATTGTTCATTCATTGTACCTATAAAGCAGGCAAACCAACAAATCTTTAACAATATGTTTATAAAAAATGCAAATGAAAAGTATCATTTCAGTTTTCAACACATAGTTTATGCTAACAGTAAAAACCTAATTTTTTGAGTTTATATGTGTATTCATTTAGCCGTTCAAAAAGCACAGGTGTCCTGAGAGCGACGGGTGGTGGAGTCCAACTACAATATTATATAGAACTCATTTACTGTCATTGTACTGGCGCATTGAGTCCACTCATTATTTCAATTTGTGTAGGTTGAAACAAAAAAAATTTCGATGAACCTATGAGGTAAAGTGATTGACAATTAATGTTTTTATTATGTATTTAAAATGCTAACAAGACTTTTTATTTTAATGGCATGATAAGATAAGTTTTTTGTATGTGTATAAAGAAATAAAATTAAACATTTCTTATATATTTTTATAAAATGTTTATTAAAATAATAGTTATTGCTTGAATTATAATTTGTAATCAAATATTTGTGTAAAGCAATATCTACAAATTCATGTTATTGTTTATTCTAATTTTTCACTTTGTATTAATTCTTCTTTAACCTGAAGTTCTGGAATTTCATCTGAAACATTAAATAATTAAATGCAATCCAATACTGATAATATTTCAATTATGTTTTGTATTTATTGTTAAAGGCTGTTGAAAGAGGGCTGAATCTTCAAACATTTATACTAAAAAATAATTTTTCATTTATTACTACCACTTGATTTTGATAGAGACATTTTTAACTATTAAATTTACAGAGGAATACACATGACAAAATTTAAACTCAAACACACGGTGGTTATCGAACGACTAACAAGCGTGTCGCAAACTGAAGATATAAATTATTAATCTATGTTCTAAAATCTATAATGTATATAGATATAAATATATATAAAAATATCAATAATCCTCATTTGATTATAGTTTATCAGAAGACAGTATAATAATGTATGCCAAACAAACCATTCTCTAAGAATCTAAAATAGTCGTTACACGACATTAATACTTTTTTTTTTTTGTCCATAATATTGGTAGTCGCGGGCCAAAAAAAAATGAGCCGCATGTTTGACACGCCTGGTGTGCACTATGGATTTCCTAGAATCTTAGCTGTGGTAATAAAATTATTCACACACTCTAATAATCGGTCACTACACACACAGCACCCCTGATGGATATAGAATATTGCTTAAATCTAACCCCTTAAAAATGTTCCACCCTCAACAGCCTTAAGTCAAAGTAGTCAAACAGATAATATTGATTTAAGAACTATAATAATCGTTAATCACTCATCGCTTTTATTCAATGATGTGTAAAACATTTTAAATGCATAACAAAATTAAATTTACCTGTGCAAATTCCATTTTTGTCTTCTGGTCCATCCTCATTATTTTCTTTCTTAAATTTATTTACGTCTAAAATAGGATAATCATTTAGTTAAATAATTTCTTATATTAATTAATAGTTTGCTTTCATAAAAATATACGTTTGTCATTTGAATATCACAAGATGTTGTTGAATCCATTAGATTTTGATACAAGAAATTCTATATAACATATTTATAGAAACTTAATAAGGGTGCAACATGATTGCACATCAAAAAAAGTTTATGTCCAAAAACAAAATAGTAAAAATAGTAAAATTATTTTTCTTTTATAAGTACATGGTATATTAAACAACAATTTGTATACGCTCATACTAAGACATTAATACACTCAATACACTATTTCAAAATATTAATATAAAACATAATAAATACCAATACTAAATATATTTGTCCTACATTTGTTATTTTAAATATATTATAATATAAAAAAATTAAATTAAATTAAATTAAATTAAAAATTAATGTTTACAAAAGATAATCAAAAAAGATCATTATAATATTTATTACAAGTAAACAAACTTAAGTCTGATAACTTTTAACTTCATTTTGTTGTTAGAGCTAGCAAACTATTTTTGTTTCAATCAGCTATTTTTTTTTTTATACAACTCTTTTTGATGAGCAATCGTGTAATGTTTTTTCCAACCAAAAAGATAAAAAGTATGCGTACTACACCACTAATAGTCAGTGGTCAAAGTTGGGGGGGATAAGGAGGGATGACATACCACTTCTTTTTTGTATTTACATTTTTCATACCTCTACTTATTTTGTCTAGAATAACGCATTCCTCCTAAGTCTTGTGTTTTAAAATGAAATAATTATTATGATTTTTATATTCATACCTATGTATAAGAAAACTTTTTATTTTTTGTATAGGCTGTTTCGCAATCATATTATCTATACCCGTATTTAGAGCCACGGATTAAGAATTAACACAAACCTTAGTCGTGTTTAGAGCTAATAACATAATATTTTAATATCACAAAATAATAACAATATTGATGATAATAAGTAGGGACGTAGCAACTAGCAATATGCTAAAATATCTAAACATCATTTCTGACAATATTCATTATGTGAGGAATTGTAAGGTATCCCTCCACTTATCTTGAGCCATTTCAACCACTGCTAATAGTTAACTGTGAGGTATACCGATTTTACTCTGTTTAACAGATACACTAAATCACTAACCATAAAACAAACAAAATCTTAATATTTAAAATCTCATATATAAAAATAAAAAAAGATAATGTAGAGGAACACTTTTTCAGTAATAGCTTTTAAAGGTCACAGAAATAACTTTGAAGGAATATGTGGTTAAATAGTTACATAGAGATTTTTAATATGTCAGTAGTATTTTTATTTTAAATTTTATCATAATTACGATTTTTTTAGGACAATATTTTTCCTCAAGTGAAATGGCCTTTAGGACTTCAGTAATTGTACTGATAATTATTTACTCAAAATAAATTAGAGCTAAACTAATATAGGAACATTGTTACTTTCTGACTCAACAATGTCCAAAATGAAAGTATAATATTACTTATTAAAAATGAATACAATTTTGTTTACTATAACACAACAATAATGCCATTTCATCCATCTCAATTCATAATATTATTCTTTTAATAAGACTACTATACTTAGACCTACCTTAATATTATTAATAACTAGGGTTATATGAGGAACCTTTATTATACCCAATTTTATATTAATACCAATTCTATAATTGGAGCCTTAGTTATTATAATGATAATCAACATCCATGCAAATAAGAAATATTATTAGTTTCTAATTGAATTTTAAGTCATTCAAAAGTGTACAAGGATAATTTACTAAGTAAAAGTATTACCGAATTCGGAGACATCAACTCCAAGTAATCTCAAATAGTGTAATCTACATTCACCATTTACATATGCTTTGAGAGTTGAAAACCCTTTCCAACCAACAAGCTCAATTGGAAAATCTTTGTCCATCATGTTCAGAATACAACTACCAACACCTATTTCAAATAGATATACCATTAAATAAAGTTATGCAACTAATAATAGAATAATTGTAAAATAATTTTTTACCAAAATTGTCTAGTATATCTTTTGTGGCCTGATCTAAAGAAGTAACTTGAATTGTTGGATTTTTCAGAACAGTTATCAATTCAGTACGTGTTAACTGTAATCGTCTTTTTTGTCCGATAAAAGAAGATATTCCAGCTAAGCCCTTAAAAAATTATATTAATTGAATAATAAAATCTACATATATCTAGTGTTCATGAACCCCGTGGTACACTGTACAATTAAATTACCCATATTACTCAGTACCCTATACAAATATTTTAATTCTGATTGCAAGACATGAAACTAGATCATTAATCTCCCACAGACAGAATTATAATTATGGCCTCCACACGAGTATGTCTCAGTGAGGCCCAGTAATCTCATAGATTTAAATTTAAATTTAAAAATAAAATATAAATATGGTACTGAGTAATGTCGCCATGTTGGTAACGGAGTTATAGAGTGTACCCAGTTTTTATGTACCCAGTGTACATGGAACATAATTTAACACAAAGTGCGGGCTATAAATAAAATAACTAAGTTAAGTGATACAAAAAATGATCAAATTTGAATAATTACCTCTTGAGCAAGCCTAAAGTTACATTCCATTGATTTATTATCGCAACGGACAAACGTTTTAACACCAGTATTGATAATCTACAAAATAAAAATATAAGTGTACTTACAAACATAGTAAATTATCATATATATTAAAAAATATTTATATACAAAAATATATTAACATTGCAGCAAAAAAAATTGTTAGGGTTTAGATATAACAATATTAGTGTATTATTATCAAGACTTGGAACTTTATGAGCTAAAAACAATGAAATATACGTGTAGATATACATTTAAAAAAGCTCAAAAATGCAATTTTTTTATATTATTGGTATTTAAATGAACATATAGATAGATATAGATCTTTAAGCATTATTTCTTTAAAGTTCTAAATTAAAAAAGTTAAATGTATCAAATACAGCAAATATTAAATCAGGCAATTATATATTTAAAAATTAAATGTCATATTATTGAGCATATTTTAAATATGACAAGGCCATCAAATCAAATATTTACAATTAATACTTGGTCCATAGTATAATTCAAAACATAGACAAGGCGACTGTGCATAATATTCAATTATTTCAACTATTGAAAATTTATTTGATGGTGATTTATTATCAAAATATGCATTAGTATGCTTAAAATTTGTAAATACGTAAAATCAAATTATAAACTATGTAGTAATGTGTGTAAAATTTTAAACTTAAATTGCATGTTTCATCAAACAAATTTGTATCCAAACATATTTTGAATATGCAGCTTTCTAAGAAATATGAAAATACATTAAGTTCCGAGCATTGATTATTATCAAACTACTAGATATTGACCCAAAACTGGAGCGCTATGATAACAATGATGAAAACTCTACTGGTATCCATCATTCAATTCCTGATTCATCTTCAATCGTGAATTAATGTAAATGCTATATATACTGTAATATATTGTTTTTGTAATACTCTGTAAGAAATATAATAACTGCAGTAATAACTAATAAAAATAAATTTTGTTTTGTTTTAATTATAATGTATAGAGATAAGAAAAAAAAGCTCTACGAAAATATTTTGCTCGCAAATCTATACATATTATCATAGAATATCTATCATATTGCACTCTGGTAATTTGAGTAAGAGAATAGAAAACACTGACATAAATTCAATGATTTATTATATCGAATTCTACTTTATTATGTATGTAACATGAATTAAGTTTTTTTTTTTAATATCAGATATATATATTTTATTTCAATTAAGCAATTAAAAAAATAATTAAAGAGTTTACCTTCACACGGTCTTGATTATTCTTTACAATATCTTTTACAGATGTGGACGTATAGTATATATTTTTTTTTTTACCCACAGAACATCTTGTAAGTAAGCATTGAATAGGGAAATTATTGAGTTCATAAAAGTCTCTGTTAAAAAAAATCATAATTAAATAAATATAAAATGAAATAAGGGTAATTAAGAAAAGGTTTCCTAAAAAGTATACAATATACTCATTAGCCACTTAACAACTAAAATACTATCTTGAGAATAAATAATTGTACACAACATTTCAGAAAAGTTAAAATTGTTTTTATTGCATTTTAAATTAAAAGAGAATAGATAAATTCAGTATGAATAATATTTTAAAAAAGCTAAAAATCTACAAAAGAACTATTAACACAATGCTTACAAATATTAAGTGCTAATAAATATATTTTTATAAAAAGAATTTTGATTTTTTTAATAAGATTTTGAAAACAGTTTTGTTTTTAGTGCCATTTGATTTAAGTGAATGAATATAAAAGACAAAATACAATTACCTAATTTCTGGCCAAACAGGATCATCAACTGTTAAAAATATAAATGGATCTTCTTTATATCCTTGGTATCTCCTTTTTTTAGGTTTTCTTTTATAATTATTGACTTTTACTTCATCAACAAGTGCATCAGTTTGTTTTATGCTCGTTTCCCATGGTAATGGCTTAATTTTTTCCATAACAGTTACAAAAAACCCTCCAGTATCTTGATGATGAGGTAGTATACGAATACTAAAAATACATAATAGGCATACAATTAATAACTATTTTTAATATATTATAAAAACAGAAATCAATTTTATCTATTTATTTTACCATCTATCCAGATTAAATACATCTTCCTTGGGAGGAAACATTTGAGGCCTAATTTGAGTATTCCATTTTTCTGGAACTTCTTCAAAAGTTTTATACACATCCAAATCCTTTGATACAACTATCCACTGAGAAAGACCATTAACTGTTTTAAGACCTGGTAGTTTATCACGAGCATCAATAATAACAACACTACCTATATAAAAATAATAACACAAAATCATTTTAAACTAAATTTTGTCAAACTGCTTTTGCAATGTTTTGTTAATAATAATTAAGTATGTTCTATTTATTGTTGATAATTAATAAATTATTAACAGTGTCATTTTTAACGCTTTTACAAAGACGTAATATTAAATAATTAGATACTTATTTAAAACCACAACAAATAATTGAATAATAAATATGCAGATCATTTTAGTTTGGTGTAACTACTGGTATGTGTTTAAAACATATATATCATCACATAAGTACAAAAGTAATTAATAATATTAAAACCCTTTATGATTATAAGCAGTTTTTTAATATTTATTAAAAAGTAATGAACAATTTAAATTTAAATATTATTAGTTTAAATTTAATGCAACAAAAAATTTAATTATAATATAAAATCGAATTTATACTAAATAATCCAGAGCAACGATAGTGACGTAAGGCTAAGTAAAAAAATAAAAGCGGGGCGGTCATGACCATAGTACATTACATGGGCCAGAGTTTGCCCATTGAATCTGTGTAAATTTACTCTATTTCTTTAGCCAGGGCTACAGACCTAATATATGGATGGATTGGTCCATATATGGTATCAATAGATTGGGCATGATTTGCAGATTATTTCTTGGTTGGTTTTAAGAAACTTAGTTGAATAGTACCGAATGTATAAGCAAAAAAATGAGTTATTTTTGAGCAAAAAGATATTGTGCTCCACCATTTTTTTCGACGTCCGATTTATTAATACCACATACGGACTGTATTACTCCCTCTACGTACACATTGTACATTGGGTAGCGGTTCTAATAGTTGCCTGTGCCTTTGCTTATCATAATATACTTAATAGAAAATACCAATATTGTATTCGTTCTGCTACATTCAGTGTTTACATGTATACATGTAAACATGTTTACATGCCGCACCATATTATTTAATAAACACGTGTTATTTTTAGTAATTGTAACTACAATTAATATTAAATAGATGTTTTATAATTTGTTTCCATTTTTTTAAAATGGATTCTTGAGTGTATCAATATAAATTACCATGGTTTTTCTATGGATGAAGCCCATTATACTTATATAATTTTACATCAAAATAAATGGCTACGATGTAATGATACTTCAATACACTTCAATTGAATGATGGGTTCGAGGGTATAAAGATGTGTACATTATAATAATGCAAAAAAAAAATAGAATATGATAATAAAAAAGAAACCGAACATATTGGATGAGCAAACATAATATAATAAATAAAGAAAAACATATAAAACCTGAAAATCATATTACATCAGCACATATAAAAAACTAGTGATATCCCAACAAAAACACATTGTCAAACTCCGTGTAAAAAATTGCCATGTAAAAAAAAGTAATTTATAAACTTTAGCATTATAAATATATGATATTGTTAATAAATCCTAAGTAAATTAAATTGAAATTAAATTTATTCTATCTCAATAATTAATTTACTTTGCTAGAATTCATTTCCACAAATAATCATGTCTGTTCATAACTGGACTATTAAAGAAATTTCCATTATAAATTTTACTAAGTTTGGTTTGTAAAAAGGTCATAATTAATAATTTATAAAAAAAAATAAATTTCTGCAAAAGTAAATAAATTATTGAGATATAATAAATGTATTTTACATTTAATTTAATTAACATTTATTAATGATATCACATCTTTATAATGCTCAAGTTTTATAAATGACTAGAATATATATTTTTTTTTTACTTGGCAATTTTTTGTTGGCATTCATATATTAAGTAAAAATACCTTGAGCTTCAGTCATCATACGCTGAACTACTGCTTCATTTTCGACTGGATTAAATGAACAAGTTGAATAAACTAAGCGCCCACCGACATTTAACAATTCTAATCCACGCTTAAGTATACGAAACTGTATTCTAAAAAAATTAAATACATATTGATCAAATAAATTCTTTTTTTGCAATTTCAAACAAATAAAACCAACCCATGCAAGTTGTTTGCATTTCCTGGACTCCACTTAGTCCAAATATCTGCATTCTTTCTTAATGTACCATCACCAGAACATGGTGCATCACATAATATTTTATCAAACTTTAGCATGGAATCCCCTAGAAAAAAAAATATCTGTATTTTATAACACCAAATATATAATTATAATTCAATTTTGTTTATTTTTTATGGTTATTAACATTTGATTGTTTTCATGATTTGCAAATTATATTTCATAAGTAATAATTAATAAAGAATAATAATCAAAATAGATTGAAATTAAATCTCTACCAAACTTTGAATAGATAGAATACCACTGATACTAAACAAATATTATTTATATTGTTTTAATTTTTCAAACTATTAAATTATAAAAAACAAACCAACCATTTTCATCCAAGTTCATAACAGGCAAAACTGTAGCATCATGATTTGTAATAACAACATTTGCACTATTTAATCTTTTAGCTTGATGAACTAGCATATAACACCTTGCATTATGAACATCATTGGCCATAATTAATCCATCTACATAAAAAAAAAATGTTGGTTAGTAAATAGTTAAAATAATTTAAAGCATAATGAAGTTGATATATTCATTTTTTAAATTAATACTTACCTGGAACTGAAGAAGTTGAGCCTGAATACAGAGCTTCAATAAGTTGTGCAGTTTTAGAACCAGGAGCTGCACACATATCTAATACCTAAAATAAATTTCAATCTTTTTAATTCTAAATATATAAATATTCAAATGTACTGATTATAGATAAAATAATTATAACCTTATCACTTGGTTGTATATCCAATAGTAAAGGTGGAATCATGCTGACTGTTTCTTGTCTAGAAATATTGCCATTTCCTGTTTCAGAAATTAGAAAATTATGTAAACGGTAGTATGCTTCTGAACCACGGATATCTTTACGAGTGATTTTTAATTGCCATCCTAATCGTTGTGGGTACCTAAATACATTTTATTAGACATAATATTATATTCAGTGTATTATTGGTATAGAACTATTTAGTATTAACAATTATTGGTAATAAATAAAAATAAATGTTACACAATTATATTTTTGAGAAATTTAAATTAAACAGACCATGGTAAACAAAAAGGTTTGCTGTTTTTTTGTTCATCATTTAGCTCTCCTTTGAGCAAATCTGTAAAAAAAACACCTTCAACCAATTTCAACAGTATTTTAGCTTCTACGTCACAGCTAGCAGTAATGCGAAATGAAGTAGGCAAGTCAGTTTTTAATACTTCTAAAAATGTGTTCCATTCATCTTCTGAACAAATATTTTGCATCTTAAATTAATTTAATAACATTTATAACAATATAAATATAATACAATAAAAAATATATATGTACTAGTTCTCTTAAAAATATTAAAAATTATTACCTTATAATACTGTACAAATTTTTCATTTTCTCGTATTGTTGTTTCGTAAGAACTACAATTATCTTCATTAGGATTTTTAGAATCTAACTGAAATCAAATATATTAACACAAAACTAAATCTAAGATTTGGTAATAAAAAATGTGAGTATAATTTATTGAAAAAATGCATTTTTATATAAGATTATCTTGATCAGATAAAAATATGAAATATACAATTTATAGTAAAAATTAAAAATTTACTCCTTCTTTCATTTTTCGTCTCCTTTTCGCAAAGCTCGCATTTGAACCACCGTGTCTTCTGTTACCCATTGTATTATAAAATAAGGAAATTTGTTCTGACCCTTAATTTATGAATGCAAACTATACGAATAAAAGAATTGACAATTTGACAATTAAAATAACACGTGAAAACGTGGAATTCAAAATCAAAATCAAACCAGTATCACAGAATACAATATCAACATTGTTATCAAATATCAAAGCCTTTTATTTTTGATAACAACATATTCACATACACACATCGCAATACAACCGCTACACATCGGCATCATATGCTCAACTAGATATGAGATAAGTACCCATTCCTGATTGTCGGGAAAATATTGAAAATAATTATTTATCTATGCTTGCGTCTGTTTCAATGGTAATCACTAAACAACGACAATTATAAATATGACATAATTATCATTTTAAAGGTACACGAGAATAACAGTGTTGACTTATAATTCATTTTAGCAAAATACCTATCATATCAAATTGCCAAATATCATTTTAAGTTTTTTGAAATCGGCTTTTTTGGCAGTAACATAAGATTTAAAAATTATTATTTTGAAAAAAAAACTTATGTTCTTGATTTTTTAAGTAAAAACAAAATGGGGACACACACATTGATATACATTTTTTTAACAGCTATAACATAAGGTGCAAGGTATACGATATTTGTAATTTATTATTATTGTTATTATTATTTACCTATTACTTGACTAAAGCTATAGATATTTATATTTTTGATATTCTGATTTGATAATTTAATGATTGACTTAAATTTTATATTTGCGTTTTTTATGTAAAATACATTGAGGTTCTGTACCGTGTGGTTTTTTTGGTAATCGGAAAAAAAAGTCCCGGTAAAAAAAGTCCCAGAAAAAAAAGTCCCGGTAAAAAAGTCCCGGTAAAAAAAGTCCCACACTAGGAAAAAAAAGTCCCGAAAAAAAAATATTATTCTTGTAGGTACTTGTACAGTTCTATAGTAAGTTGTGCTTTGTATTTTAATGTGTAACTGTGTAAGTGTAATGAATAAAATGCTTGTACATATATATGCCTCCAGATGCAGAAGACCTTTTAACTTATTTTGATTCTTATTATGTAAATGGTACCTATAGGCGTGTAGGTTCAGCTTCTACCTTGCATTTTAGAAAAATTCCACCTATATTTTCACCTGCCTCGTGGAATGTACATAATGCCACTTTAGTAGGGGGGCATCGAACAAACAATATGACTGAAGGATGGAATAACCGATTTTCAAAGTTATGTGGACATAAACATCCAACTATTTGGAAACTAATTAGGAAAATAAAAATGGAAATTTCCGCAGATGAAGCGAAATTAGCTTTAGATGCTGTAGGAGATTCAAAAACTGTTAAAAAACTAGGGCAAACTCGGACAGTAGAAAAACGGCTGCAAAATTTATGTATACAAATACAAGCGGGCAATATCGGTGTTTTAGATTTTTTAACAGCCGTAAGTCATAATATAAGAAAGAGGTGTACCTAATTATAATATTACATTTTTATAGCATTATTATTATAATTATATTGGTACTTTAATTGTATTATTATTATTTACTTTTATTTGACTTACTTATTATTGACTATTTATTATTGTAATAAATTGTAAGTAATTAACATCTTTTATGATATTATATGACTTTGTATGTATTTATATATTCATCGGGACTTTTTTTCCTAGTGTGGGACTTTTTTTACCGGGACTTTTTTACCGGGACTTTTTTCCGGGACTTTTTTTACCGGGACTTTTTTTTCCGCGATTCGGTTTTTTTAGACTATTTTATTTTTCTAGAAAGAAAATAAGTAGGTTTACTGTTAATTACTAAATTCAAACTACTATATTAAAAAAAAAAAACAGTAAATAAATATAAAACTTATAGGCTATAATAAATTATTATTATAAATACCTATATTTATTATTTTTTTTTATACTAGGTACCTACTTTGATTTTAGTACTAAATTATAATTAAGGTAATTTTTTATCAGATATTGACTTTCTATAAAAATGAAACATCACGGAGCTATAGAGGTAAATCATAAAAGTCAAATACGTAATTCTTAAGAGGATTGCAGCCGTAATATTTATTTTCTCTGTCAGGCCTAGGAGTAACATAGATAAAACGCTTTCACCTAAAATCGTTTTGTATGATGTTTTAGTTATTTTTAAGTAAAATCATCTTTTCAAAAAATTATAGAGAATAATATTTTTGAGGGTTTGACATAATATCAGTTTTATATTTTATTATTATTATTGGACTTCGTATTCGACATACATACAAAATAATTTTTTTATTTTTGTAAATTTAAATAATATTTTAATTGATTTGAGACAAATTGATACATCATACACTCATACCATCATAAATTATATTTTCTTTAGGTTTTGTAATGTGTGATTTTACTCTTAAGATTACTTAAAAACATAAAAAAAAATGTCTGCGTACTGCGTAGCTACATATTATCTGTGTTGCGCTTGGGCCAGAGAGAGAAAACTAACAGTGCGCTGACAATCTAACATCTTCTCAGTTCTTAATATTAACAAATTATGTTACGTAATTATACCTCATATGATCTGACCACTGAATACTGATAATTGAAATATTAATATGCAATCTATACAAATAAATAAAATTAAAGAATCGGTGTTTACTCTTTTGTCCAGTTAATCTTCGAAATGGCTAAACCAATAAAATGTATCAATAAGACCAATTTGTATTAGTATTATAGACAGTTAGACAGATAGAGCCATATGATATATAGCCCAGGATGTTTCCCAATAGTTTTTTAATAGTAAGTGTATTAATTCATTGATTGCTATTTTGGATATTTGCTAATGCTTATCAAGTAGGTATGGACAGTATGATTCATACTAGGGAGGTATACACGTCATAACGTTTTGTATAATGTATAATAAATTATATTATTTTATTTACTAATATTGATTTTTTGCAGTTGATTATCTACAGTTGTTTTATTAATATTTTATATTATGGTAAATAAGTACCTACCTAATAATTATCGCTATAATATATACCTAATTATACACAATATACAATGATTTAAAGTTAATTTTAAAATACCAGTAAAAGTAATATTTCTTTTCTTTTAAGGTTCTAAACATTTTAGAAATAAAAAAGATAGCTTTACCAATATACTGAACAAGATAATTTTAGAGTAAAAATTCTAAATTTTTTTTGCTTGATGTAGACTTGTCAGTTACAGTAGATAGGTAGTAAGTCACTAGATGAGTATCTGCGTGTGTGCGCACTTGAGCCACCCGTGGAATCAGGCTCAGAAATCATTTCAGCAGTTGGTGTTAAATAGCCTGGTGTACTGGCGTGGTGGCGTGACTAAAAAGTTGTATATTTCAAAATGAATGACGGGCTAAACAAAAATAAGATCGAAAATTAATCACGACTAACGGCACACAGTGTGATAAACTGCGATTTGTATTAACAATAGGTGCAAAAAGTGCTTGAGATTTGAGAGGGACCGAAGCCCTACGATATAATAATATTGAATAAGCTTCAAAAAAATTCGAACATTTTTTAAGGGGTTATTGAGATTTATGGAGCGACTTAGCCCCCGTAGCTCTCCCTTACTTGTGCCCATGGTATATAATAGGTATGTCTATCGTATTTACAATTTATTAATTTAATTATATTCAATACATACATTCATAAAAACGACACTTTCACACATTCTATGCGAATAATACGATACCTATGTAACATTTACTTTTGGATAAAATATAATAGGGTAAGCCCGGACATATCAGGTCTACCCGCAGGCTACGCCACTGTTGACTGTTATATAAGTATCTAACCCACATTTCTGATTTTGATTCAGCTTCATTCATTTTATATTTATTAAGTCATGAAAACATAAGAAAACAAAATTGTTCTAATGTATTAATAATAGTAACGACGTTGTCCAGAATGTCCAGATTACAAACTATTCGACACAAACACACAAGACAACAATATTATTGTACTTATGAAGATCGAAGGACGATGATAATATAATAAAATAGGTAAAATTAAATCTAATTCTGTTTTTAGCAAGACACCTTAAGTGGTAGACTGGCACAGAGATCGTCGTCCGATAATCGTAATTACCTACCTTACCTTACTCGTTAGTCGTTATCACCATTTATACATTAATGTTAAGACGTTAAGTATAAAAATAATATCGTGAGTTCTTCTGAATTTTTGTTTTGTTTACTTACTTAAGAGGACTCCACTCCCGCATGTATTGCCTCCGTCTTACTAACACGCAGCACACCAAATTTAAGCCCAACAATTCACGTTTTATGCCGGTAGCTTAAAAATTAAAGTGAATCAACCTATTATGAAACTTGATGGTCAGAACTTAATCTGTATTTTGTTGAAAGTTTTTTTACGATAATTCAGTTTTTAAGTGAGGTATGCTTGTACAATAAATGTAAATTAACAATGCTCATAACTCACTTGGAAACCGAATTATTGTAAAATAACTTCCAACAAAACACAGATAAAGTTCTTACCATCAAGTTTCATAATGGGTCGATTCAATCTAATTTTTAAGCTAACGGCATAAAACGTGAACTGCTGAGCGTAAATTTGGTATGCGTATGTTACGCGTTTATAAGACGGAGACAACACATGCGGGTGAGGCGTCCTCTTTAACTTCTGTGTACAATTTAAGTACGTGTGTAGTAAAAACTACATGACATGAATACATGATACGTTATACACAGAGTCATTAAGTATAGTGATAAATGATACCTAGTATATAGTTTGACCATGACAAAAAAAAACTTACTGGATGTTAATAAAAAGAAATAAAACCAATTTTTAAATTCAAACTTATAAATTTAGCTGCCGTTGGTAGAAGTATAGACATTATGATAGGGGGGCCTAGCCCAAGGCCAGACTTATATTATGTTGCTGAATAAACAATACGGGAACGGGTGACAGTATTGTGATAAACAGTTCCCAACTGTTGCTGGTTTTTTAATGGGAAAATTTTTTTTAAAAGGGTGATCCTAGCCCCCTCCCTAGGTACGCCTATGATGATCCTGCTAAGTTGAATATGTTAAACCATATTATTACTATATATAGACATTAATTGTAATTTTTTGTATGTAATAGTTAATTTAATTTGTATTCAACATATTTGTAAGTTTACAATATTCAAACTTTTGCACGCAATATATTGGGTGATTTATATAAAATTACTCATAAGACATTTATTTTACCAAGAACTACCAACACTTAAAAAAATAAAATGCAAAACAATACAATTTGGGCTGAAGACTTCCTAAAATTAATTGATCATAACATTAGAAAGTGCTGTAATGACTACAATAATTATATCATTACATATAACCTACCCTTTTAGCCTATAGGTACCGCAATTTTTAACATACAATTAATTTTAACTATAGTATATTTATATTCAATTTAGATGATTTATTATGGTTGTATAATTTATAAAACGATTTATATTTAATTAAATCTAACGATCCCTATTTCGGCTATTCCCCCCCACCTAATTATTGCCTCAATGTTTATACTGAGTTTTTTTATACACTTACTAAAACTTCTGTATCTAAAAAACAGAAAATATTTGTTTTTTAATTTTGATTTAAAAAAATATTTGGAATTGAGATGGTTTAAATGAGTCTTTGAAACAAACTACTAAATTTGATGAAAAGATAAAAGTTATTGATACATTGAATCAAGAAAAAGTAAGCCAAACTATTTAAAAAAAAAAACACAAACTTCTTCTAGTATCAAGTAATTACTGATCAAATTACAACATACCATTTAAAGGCAGGAATTCAGATTCTATTTAAGAAAAATTGTGTTTATTACTAGTATTGAAAGAGCATTAGAAGATAATGGTCCGGCAATTACGGCTTTTGCTCAATAATTGTATTCAAAACACAATGAAGACAATTAATTTCTGCCTTTAAAAGGAGAAATAATGAAAATAATGAATACTTACATAACGTACAAGTCACTTTAAGGAAAAACTGACAATATGAGTCTATCTCCTTCTAGTATTAAAAAATGCTATGTATTATTTATGAATACTTTTTTTTATTGATCAAAGAAGAATATATACATAATTTATAATCAAAGATAACATTTTTAATTATCTATCTCTTTTAAGCAATGCTTTTAACTTAATACTTTATCATATAACATAAATCCTTCACCCAGCTAGTATCATAATTTATATTGATTTTAAATACATGTTTGTCCGTTATTATGCATTTCAAACAGTTTATAAAAACTTTGTTGCAATTAAAATTGCTAACCTAAGTAATAAAATTAATTCATTATTTTAATAGAAAAAAATAAATCTATTATTGTATATCTATTTATACATATTTTTTTAAAAAGTATCTACCAGTGTTCCATTCATAAGAAAAAATACATTCACTTTTTTTTTGAAAAAAAATAATAAAGCTCACATTTTGTCAACACAACAATTTTGAGTAGGATTTGAAAGCAAATAACACATGGAAAAACATTCTTAACATTTTAACAATACCTATAGCCTAAAATAATAACAAAACTGACAAACTAACTAAAGCAGTAAATCAGTAAATCTTATGTTGTGCATTATTATGAACCTGTGATATAAATATATTATTTTAAGATGATCATTAATTTTAAAAATATCATAATCCCAAAACTATGATTTTATTTTAGTAATTTGTAAACAGTTTTTATGCCATTATAAAAATTAATGATAAATCAGAGCAACTAAATACAAGTCACTGGTATATATTTGAACTCTTCAGTCACTCAGAAGAGCCAAATGCAAAGACTTAACTCATATAAAAGGGAATTACTCATGTGAAAGCAGGCAACTTTGTATCCAGCAGTTCTAAAAAAAAAAACACTCAAATAAAATTGTTATTGTATATTTTGAGTTGTACAAATACAATACTTTATTAGTTTACTTTTAAAATAAAATATATTATATAATAAATATTACATAGTACTGGTGTTTGAAAACACATGGTATAAGGCATTACAATTTATTTCACGATTATGAAAAAATACAAAATAAATTTGGTGAACATTATGGCATAAAAGTAAATTGTTTTATTTATAAGTCTAGTGGAATAATAGTTATTTTAAATTACACAGTCATAAGTTTAATTTTTACAAAATAACACTTACTTATGTATAAAAATGTTGTATTGTTATTAAAAGTAGGTAACAAAAAAAAAAAATACATAGGTATGTTTTCAATTTATTTTTTATATACTTACAGCGAATAATAAAGAAAAATGTAATCAGTTAAATATTAATATTAATAAAATAAATAATTATTATATTAAATACATAAAAAAGTATCAACACAAAAATATCCAAATATTATTTCAGTCAATCATATAAAATGTATAATAAAACTAAGGTTAGAAAAAAAAATTGTAACATTGGTATGCAGGAAACAAAGTAAAAATTACTACAGTATTATTTTTTAATAGCCATATAGATAATACATAAAAATATTAAAGTCCAACTTGTATTAATTTGAATGATATTACTATAACAGTATTATGTTGAATAATGAAAGTTTTTAATTAGTTAATACTACAAAATTTCTTAATTTAAGTTTTAAATATAAAAAGAAAACTATTATTTACCCTTGACTCACTTAATGAATAAAATCATAAATATTGAACATTATATTTATTTAACAATGCAGAGCTTAATAATTTTTTTTTAAAATTGTGTAAATTGTATTAAATACATTAATTAAATTATTTTCACTATTAGACTGTGGTAATAATTTTAATTCAGTCTATTATCGGTACAGTATACACTATATTAGAAGGCACATTAAAAAACGTTCACATATTTTCCTAATATCTAGTTCATTAATTTGATGATAAATTATTCAAAATGTAATGATAAAATACCTAATCAAATAGATGAAATTCATTGAGATAAAAATAATCCGGTTGGACTATAGTAAAACTAAACTTATGCAACAATAAAATAAAATGTAAAAAAGATAATTCTGTTACACCAAATAGTACTAAAATAAAGTAAACCATATTAATGTAAAATAATTGTACAGCCTTTAATAATTCACTTACTAATACAATTAAGTTGCATTATTTATAAAAATTAATTCGAGATATAATCATCCCTTCAGGTTTAGCCATACAGAATATTTGATAAAAATAACATCTAATTGTCTTTATTTCTTTCTCCTTTTTTTGTCTGGTTCTGAATAATTTTCTATAGAATTTTTATTAGCACACAATACAGCTAATAGTTTTCTATGGAGTTTTCTTTTTGCTAAATCTAAATCACTCAGGTTTGATTCATTTTTAGTTGAATTGGATTCTAATAATTTAATTATGTCATCAATGTTGGCTTGACCATCGGAACACTGATGACGCAAACTTCTTGATATAGCACGTCTTTGATGATCCAATTGTGGAAAAAGATCTTTAGATACTTCTAACGCACTATTAGCAGCATTCATTTCAGCTCGTTGTATACTATGACCAGTCGCCTGTGACAACCTCACACTTTTAAAGTAGACAGCTACTGTATATTTTCGACCATTAGTTGGTCCCATACATTCTATAACTTTATATACTGGTATATCTGGTTCACCACCGTCAACTGATCGTAATGTTAAACAACATTGCTGTAGTTTAGACTTTGGGTCATTCCAGTCTTGTTTCAGAATGAAATCATGTAGACGAGGGAAGAAACATACATTACAAAATGCTTGACAGAATGTAAGTCCTTTGTCAATATATAAAGCTCCTAGAAATGCTTCTAACAAATCAGCTCTATCTTTTGTTTTTAATTCGGCTTTTGGATTTGCATAAAGTGCATAACTGACCATACCTAAATCATCACATACTACAGATTGAGTGCGATTGTTTACCAAAGAACTACGAAGGAGTGATAGGTGACCTTCGTGATGTTCTGGAAAATATTTGTACAAATAGTCTGAAGCTATTAATTGTAGAACAGTATCCCCCAAAAACTCAAGTCGTTGATTTGAACCAAGTGTTAAATTTGTGAAACCAACACTTCTGTCAGTGAACGCTCTGGCTAATAATCTTATATGGGTAAATTTTATACCTATAGAGTCTTCAAAGCTTGTTAGTTTTTGAAGTAATGGTAATTTTTTAATCCATTTACGATCACCTTCAGGTTCTTGTTGCTGCAAAGGATGTCTGGGGTAGTTTACCCAAATATCGAGATATTCTGGTGAATTCCTATAAAATGTTTTACCAAACACACGGTCAGCTACATCAATACCTCCATCTAAAAATAGTGCACCCATCAAAGCTTCAAAACAATTAGCCATTGCATGTTTCAGCTCAGAATCATGACACAAGTCTGAACCATGAGCATATAGCATATAATCATCTAGCTTTAAAGTCTTTGCTAAAACAGCAAGATGTTGATTTTGAACAATAGCTGCTCGAAATGTGGCTAATCCTCCTTCTTCAATGTCTGGAAACATATTAAACAAATGAATAGAAGACACAAATTCAACGACAGCATCCCCCAAAAATTCTAGACGCTCATTATGCATAATATTTGATTCCATTTCTGATTTCTTACCAAAACGTGACATTATATTAATTAATGTATTTATACCTCTTTTTCTTGTGTTCATGTAATGAATACGCCTATCACCATACTCAGGTTGTCTTATACCACAGTTGGTGAGAGTATTTCTTGCATGATCAGGATTAGTACCGAAATTTTCTCTATAGGAAGGATGAGTTAATGCAAGCTGAAGTAAATATTTGTTCTTAAATTTATATTCTATAGTATCTTCTAGGTATTCTAAAGATTTATGGAATCTAAAATGGCACACAAGTACAGGTAAAAGCATGGCGTGCTGAACAATATCACACATGAGTCCAGTTTTATAAAATCCTTTACTAGAAACTGCTGCAGTCACTCCACGTTTCATTTTATTATGGGATCTCATTTCTTGTAAAGCTCTTTCTTTGATTTCCAGTTTTCTTTTATCTTCAAATGATGGTTTAGGCATATTTGCTAGAAGATGTCTGAATTTCACATAATCACGCCAGCCCTTTTGATATTCTGGATTACCAGCATAACTAAGTTGAGGTGGTCTAATACCGAAATGTACTAAAACTGGATAGCCATTGTTTACATTTTTATCAGAAGTTTCATTTACAGTATCTCTATCTAGCTGATCAACACGTATTGAATATGGTTTAGTTCCAGGGTTTGTAACTATCATACCTTTATATTCATCTACTATATTTTGCCATTCATTCATAGGCATATTTTTTAAAGCAGGCAAAGAGCTTGGTTCAAAAAGTAATTTGTTGCTCTTTAAAAGATACTTAAGAACTTCATTCATAGCAAGCACTTCTTTGCCATTACCAGACAAATCTTTTACAAATCGAGGCATGAAATGAAATTGAGGACATCCATTTTTATTGCCTACACCGTGCAAGTCTAAATCAACCAATTCCAAAATGTCTTTAAACAAATAATCATAAAATAATTGCAACTCCTTCACTATAAAGTTATCTGGAACCTTTTCTTCAACGTATAATATTGCATAATTAGTGTTGAAACGAATAACTTTACAAGTAGGTAAAATTGGAATTGGATAGTGTGATAGTAATGAGAATCCTTCAAAAATATATTTACTTTCGTTATGTTCAATAATTGTAGGACACTTAAGTAAAAAATTTGTTGGAGGAGTAATAGTAATTCGATAATGAAATAATTTGTCGCTATTATTTGAATTTGGTAAACAAGGTTCAAAGGGACCTTCTCCAACATAAATATTATGTCGTATACCAGATCTCTGCGATTTAACACTACATTTACACATAGGACCATCATTCATTTCTCCAACCTCATTATACCATAATTCCGAGTGCAGTCTATCTGGATGAGAACATTTTCTATTCAGCTCAATAAGCGTAGAATTTTCTTTTTCGTTATCTTCATCCTCATCAGATGAGCTAGAACAATTACCTGAACATACATGTTTACGAACATTAACATTAACTTTACGAGGTTTACAAACTACTGGTTTCTTTTCATTCATATTAATAACACGTTTTCCTAAAGTGTTTTCAAATTCATCACATATATCTAGTGCAATCTTATTTCCAAATGTAACTTCTGAATCGCCATCAGGTTTCTTATAATACACATCTGTTGGTGCTGATCTGCTCCACTTTTTTTTTTCATAGTCAATTATTTGTTGAATAGACATATTTGATAATTTTTTTATTTCAGACATTTCACTAGACATTTCTTCATTTGTTTTCATATTTTTAAAATGTCTATCCTTACAAATATTACGAGATTTCGGAGATGAAGAACGGTGAGAATGTTTTGATACACTTTGGGTATGGCTTGATGTTGATGAATGTTTTCTACTAGTACTTTTTGCACCATTATTCAAAAATTTAGATGTTAAATCAAACCATTCATCCTTTTTTTTTGATTCTTTTTCATCATTACATGTTTGATTAGATGGATATTGTTCATTATTTACTGGTGGTTTATAGGAATCTGATTGGTTGACATGTAAAGGCATATTAGGTGTATATGGTAAACTATTTGATGAAGATTGTATATATTCATTAGTAAATGTTTTTTTTGTCACGCCAGGTAATGATTCATTAACAAAATATCCAGATATCTGTGGTTGTTGAGGTTGAGGCATATTATTATATGAATACAATGTTGCAGGGACATAATTAACATTGCTATAACTTGTAGTTAAGGAGCTTGTTGATGGAACCAAAGATTCATTGATATACGACACATTTGTGGACATCGGAACATTTGTAGGCATCTGTACAATTGTAGGCATTGGCACAATTGTAGGCATTGGGACATTTGTAGGCATCGGCAAATTTGTAGGCATCACATTGTATCCCATATTATAATGTTCATTAATATTGTTATAAGCAAATGAAGTAGTTACATGTGAGGTATTATAGTAATTGGTTGTATTAATGTTCTTTACTTGTTGCATATCATATCCATTATTATTATAGAGACTTTGAGTATAAGTCATTGATTGATTTGGCTGGTAATTAAATGAATGCTGATAAGAACCCTCCATTGTTATAAAATGATTATATGATGATGGTGTATTCCTATGTAAAGTATACTAATAATTTACCGTAGTCCTTCATAATAATTGAGCCTGAAAAAAAGTTTCATAATAATAAATTAAAATTATTTGTATAGGTATAGGTATAGGTATTCAAATTAGTTTTGAAATTTTTCATTCAATTCTGATATTTATTTATTTCACATTAAATATTCCATAACTTATGACTTATCATTATTAATTATTGCAATTATAAAAAAAATATTTTTGATAATTTATGTCAAATTTTTAAAATTTAGGTAGGTACTTGGTAGTTCATAATTTTTAACAAAAATTAACAAAATAAATTATAGTTAATTTTATTCATAAATATGAGATAAAAATTAGTGAAATAATACACTCATTTCATGACATATGGAACCTATATAACGTGGTCATCTATTTATGTCTATTTATTTATTTAAAATTTTAAATTAAAGACTTAGACATATTTTAGTTACCAAAAATTCTAAAAATTATTCTAAATAGTTTTTCTATTCACTATAAAAGTGTGATACTATTATAAACTTCTAATTTTCAAGTGGAAACCTTCATTTTGAATTTTAAATTTACTTGAAATCATTATACAGTCAAGTCGAGATAACTCAATGTTGAAGAGGAATAAAAATGTACATAAAGATATATGTTATTCAAGATACTTAACTTATTGAGTATGTATTGGAGTTACTAGAAGAATAAAATATATTTGAGTTGTTAATTTTTTTGAGTTATTGCCACTCGACTGTAAAATGACTTTGCAACTCTTTCTAAAACATATCATAAACATCAAATGTGCCCGATTTCTAATTGATCAAATCAAAGTGATCCTTTGGTTAAAAGAACCAACTGTTTAAAACATTAAAGTAAGACTACCGTCATCAACCATAATTTAAAATTAAAATAATAGAAAACTATTGAAGAATAGAAAATTGTAGCCTTTAAAATGTTAATTGGATTCATATAAAATTCTATAACTGTTATCAAAAAATTAATTGAGTGATCATTGTTTTTTTTTTTTAACTATACCTAAAAACAAAAACGATTTAATTTAAAATCAAACCCGTCTCATAATAATGTTATTTAAAATTGTTTTGAACACAGAAAATGTGTAACTAACAAAATTAAATAATGGGTAGAGAAGGTAACTTTTTATACTATGTAAACATAATTCAAGTGACATAGAAAAATTTTTATACTACAGCCTATAAAGATAGTATGAGCGTAATCAATGTGGGTAATATGAGCCATAAATAAATAAAAATAAAAATGTTTATTAGTATTCAACCTTCTGACATCATCCTACTATCAAATATATAAACTTTTTACAAAAAAACAGTATTTCTAATTAAATAATGCATTAAACACTTTGAATGTTTTTTTCTTATATGCAGATGGAATATTTTACAAAAAAAAATGTATTTTCAATAAAGTTAATTGCTAATGAAATAAAGCAAGGTATAGTGTAATTATATTTTAATGCAGTAGTCAAAGGATTAGATAACATAAACTTTAGATGATGATAACAGTGATAACACAACATAATATGTTCACTAACATTCATCTGAGTAAATAAATAATATTGAACTACCTAACTAATAATTATAAACAACTATTTAATTCTAGTATGACTTTTTTTAATACTTAAATGTTCATTAATATATAGTACATTAATATTACAGTCCGTATCAGCTATAACGACAGTCAGTGAATTTAAAATATATGTCATCATAACCAAATTTGATTTTTTATTTATTATGTAATACATTATACATTTGTATTCTATTTGTACAATGGATTTTTGAACTACACAAGTATATTATTATAATTTTAATTTGATTTTTCAAATACATGTATATTTAATAACAGCATATTATACATATTATTTTATTATAACTTAGAATTCCAAATTCAGTCCCAATATTAATGTTTTTTTCATTATTTTCCAAACAAAAAATTATATGCGCTTTTTCTTTGACAGAAAAATGATTTCTCTTATTAATTTTAACATTTTAATGGAACATGTGCAACGGCACTAACATAACTAAAATATCAAAACTGATATTTGTAGATTTGTGGTAATGTCTCATAATATGTATACTATATGAATTAAAATTGTTGATAGCTTGGATGCTATTTTAAAAACACATGAAAGCATATTACACAATGGCTGTGGGAAAGTACCCTATTTATGTAGGTAATTACACCGATAATATTTGACGATAATTTGTGAAAATGATAATATACAGCCGTTACGTAAGATTAAAATTTGTGATGCGGCCCGATTTTCAAGTCTTATAAGTCGATATTGTTGTTACGTCCAATTTCGTTATAGCCAGGTATTTTGTAAATATAAATAAATGGAATTTTGTCAGGTCCTTGAAATTAATGTCATTATACCCCATTTGTAGTTATGACCGGCGTCATTATAGATAGTACCGACTGCATATAGTTTCATTTATTAAGTAATTGAATAATATAATATTTGTAAATCATTTCCACAATTTTGCCTGTATTTAAAAATTAAATATTCATCATAATATATATTTCAGTACTTAACTTAACTTCACACAAAATTGTTATAAATGACTTGCAAATAATATGTTACAAAATGTCACTATACTGAAGTAATAGATCTAATTAAAAATTGTTAGCTCTGATCAGTGCTAAGTGACTAAGGCAGATATTGTAATGAGATAATATGAAGCTGACAGTATTGAAAATTATAACATATTTTGATTATTAATTGTTCGATGGTTCACATTGCCACAGACATTTTATAGTTTTGGATACTGTACTCAACAAAATAGAACAAAAAACCATAAGTATCATTTAAAATGTATAACAATTATATAACACATTAACTAATTACAATGAATAAAAAGTAGAATAAATAAAATTGTACAATAGAGAATTTAAAAAAATTATATACTATATATTTAGAAGTAAATAATATCGGATGCATAGAAATAAGGTTATAGCAAATAACATATAAATTTAATTGAATATAGAAGTGTTTTTAGAAAATATGATTACACTATTAAAATTTTGTTTGAGAAGTATATATTTTATAAAATTATAAAATATAAAACATGTTTGCAAATAATTAATTTTTAATGTTATTTTTGAACAGTTAGGTACTCAATTTTTTTTCCAATTGAACAAATTAAATTATTTTAAGATTTTCTTACAATTTTCAATTGCGTTTAATTTTTACTTATATAATAAAAATTATAAAAAAAACTTATACACATTATAACTAAGTTTTTTTCTTAAAAACTTAAGCTAATTTTAAAATAACTGTTAAAATTAGTTAGAGCATAAGCAGAAAACTATTATTGCTAAGTAGTGACTTATCAAAAAACTATTAAATATATTAGGTATATACTAAGTTATAAATTAATAAAATTAATAAAAAAATAAAAATGAAATAAATTTAACACATTTTGGACACATTGTAAAGTATAAAATGTATTAGAAATTGTTCCTATTTATCCAATTAAGTGTATGAGAAAACATGCAAAAATGTTTACCAAATATAAACAAAATCCAATTAAACTGTTTTTAAAATAATAGAATTATTTTATTTCTGATCCATTCATCTTATTTTGTGATAAATGAATAAGCAGAGTTACAACAATTTGATTTAAAAGAAAGTTAAATTTATTAAATTTAAGTATTTTTATTTGTAATAAAATGTATTATTATAATAATTGATAAGGTAAATTGAGATTTTTTAATTAATTTGATATTGACAATAATGTTTCTAGAAATGATGATATTAAAGTTAATCAAAAGTCATCTTTATTTTTCCCTAAATAATAATCTAGGTACAAAATTAATATTATAGTTTGATTATTTTTACTATTACATGTATTCTAGTTGGTTGGAAAAATAATAGGCATTGATAATTAATGTATACTTATAATAATGTACATTTAAAAGATCTATGACAATGCCAAACATATTAATTAAATCTTGATAAAAATATGAAGTACTTCATACCAACTGTAAATATTCCAAATAATTACAAACAAATTATAGAATTTCTTGTTTGATCAAAATTACTTGTAAAATAATTTCAAACAAATTACATTTTAACATTTCCACAATGGACCGAATAACCATTTTTTTAAAATATATATTGTATTCAAGACCTGAACCACAAATTTAGTGGCAACACAAGCTATTTTAACACAAGGAGCAAAGATTTTAGTTAACCCACCCACCCAGTACTTTATCAAACATATGAAAAAATGTAGGTCTACATATTATATTAAATGACAAAAACATTAAACACTTTAACGTTAAATTTAATTATATTTTTTATTTACTAATCATTTATTTAATAACAATGAATTTTTTAAATGTTTGGAGTAAACACATATTCATTTATATTGTCTTTTGGATATTCAGATTACCTTGTTGCTTATTATTAATGTATTAATTTTAGTGATTGATTACTTATAGTAAGTATGCATGTGCTAAATATTAATACCCACCCACAATTTGGAGGAGTGGCTGCTTAACCACTACTAATTACAATCATAACAAAATTAAAATTGTTTTAGAATGATGAGTTTTATGAATTTTTTATTAGTTCAGATCAGATTAAACATAAATAGTATATAACTCTAGAAATAAATGTATCAATAAAATGTATAGATATTTCATACAGATTAAATATGGTCCAAATCTATGTCGTACAAATTTTAATCAAAATTAACATTTTTTTGAATCTAGGTATAGTATATAGTATAATATAATACCTAATCTTAATTAAAACTTATCATATTAAGAGTTGACGAATATACACTGTACTTCATGAAGACTTACTAATTTAAAACGGTGGAGTATTGGAATATACATTACCCTATACACCAGTTTAAATTGATAAATCCTCATGGATTCATGATTCATGTGAATCATTGTTTGTGAAAATACTTACACTCGCCATCTTCTTCCGATATTCATGAACTCTGTGCATTAGAACCGTAATAAAACGCATACCGTAGGCGGTAGGCAGCTGATAATTCCCAATGACAAAAACTTACTATCGAACAATATTAATAATGAAATCAAATGTCGAGAAATGACTGTAGAAGTGGTACTTGTTAAACAGGAGTTCGTAAATCGCTTAATCGACACACCGAATTGTGATATCAGTTGTCGAGTTACCTAGAGGCGGCTAGGTGCACTCGAATATTCGATAGTAGCAATTAATATAAAGATAATTAATTCAGAAATGTACAAATTATTCATAGAACCGCACACAAGGATGTATCATCCATCGTACATTTTCACATTGATATTTGATAGCATGTCGTGGTATCTCAAATGAAAACAAAAAATAAAAATGTGTTTTCGAATCGTTACGATCCGGGCTGATCTCGCTTCTAACATACGACTTTACAGTGTTGTTCGGCACACCAGGGCATTATTATTGTACTCGAGTTGTCCTAACGCATATATATATAGTTATATTGTAGTGAATTAGTTGTAGTGACTGCGGCCTTAGGTTACTGATTAGTTAGATTATTCCAGAACTATAAAGATTTTTAATACTTTATACTTTTCTTATTAGGTTTGAGGAATATTCTGATTAATATTTCTATTATTCAATTATCACGTTTTGGTGGTAATTTGATTCTGTTTTCTAAAGGACAATTTTAATATCCGATCATTCCTTTACCTACTCTCTGTACCATCGCAGAATATTCATGTTATTGTTATTATGTAATATTATAATACGAGGTTTAAAAACAATTTAATAATAAACCTTAATATATCTATAATATGATAAAATAAACTATAATACTAATTAGTTTTACTAACAATTTCTAAATTAATTTCTTTCTTAATTGTTTAAATTATGTATAATTCACAACTATATACATACATTTTCCGTTTATATTCTCATTTGTCTCGTTTTCTTTAAATCTTTTAAAGGATCTTTGCCGTCTTCTTTGAGATCTAAATTAATTTTTTAAATGATGCAATAATGAATTAACAATGATTTTTTTGTTCGTTCATCGTTTGATTTTTGTATTCCAAAAGTTTCATATAGCTTACATTAATTATAGTAATTTGTGTGATATTCTGTAAATCACAGTCACTAATAAAATATTATTACAAGCTCATATACACCGACACCTTCCAACTTCATTACACTTTTAAGGCCCTTTTAATTTTGTTTAGTAGTTTACAATACAATTATGAGTTACAAAATCTTACGACAGACATATTATAGGTAGGTATAGGTACTATAGAACTGGGTACGGTTTTTAACATTAACATTATTTTCTTCGGCCACACTTTGCTGTCTAAAAAAATAAATTGCAAAATATAGATTATAGTGTTGAGTATTGGTACACGCGTAATTGAAAATTATTTTTAAATCTTAAACAAAATCGTGATGTTTCAGGAAAATACAATAAAATGTATTATGTATTTGTACTATACTATTATGCAAGTTTTTAGAAAATAAATTGATATTATAGATATGATCATTGGTGGACTAGGCCAATTTTACTATACTGTGCAATTGCACGGTGAGCCAGTCGCCGGTGTCATATTATATTATTATGTCCCCGAGTTAATACAAAGTAATCCACCTGGTGTATCGTATATAATATTATTTTTGTTGACTTTTTAAGGGCATTTTCTATTGAGAACATCTTGCTAGTGTCTAGTGGACCAAATTATCTATTCCGTTAAACTCAGTCTTAAATACTTATATGTCTAGGGCCCGGACTTTAATTCAAAATACATTATATTTTAGGAAGCCCCTGGCAATGCTTTTCAAATAAAAAAGCCGTTTCATGCATCAGAGAATTGTAAAACTTTTTATTTCACATTTTTTTTCAATTTCCATTTCGTTTTTTGAGAGTTTATTATAATTCTTAGTTAATTTCGTTAACTTTTAGTGCATATAATACATTATATACATTTGTAGATTAAACTTAATTGGTGATTCAAACAAATTTGTTCCGACCATTCACCATATTATGTCGTCTTGTCGATCGTAGGTACTATTTAGGATTTCAATACGTCGTAAGATTTTATGCTTCCGGTACTCAAACCAGTAACAACTAATTGGTCAGTTGGTGTTTCATGGTAATCTGCAGTAATCAGTAATCCCATTTGTTTCCTACAGTTTGTATTTTTTTTACTCAAGAATTGTTAAACATTTTTTTTTAATAGTTTTGAGGGCATTTAAATTTTAAATCTGAGCTCTACATATAACTTATAAATACGTCATTCAAAATTTGATTTTAATACATCGAAATCGAAGTACTTAATAATTGTATGTTCGTTCTTCAATTGATACTTTTCTAGAATTTTGATCGAGATCGGCCGACGCAGTGTTTTTCTTATTATTATTTATTATTGGTTTATTTGCTAATCATATTTTCGAATAATTTGCCTCCAGTCCACCCTACATAGCACTCGAATAATTTGATAAGACCAAAGTCACCGTTGTAGAAAGTTCAGCCGAAAGTTGATTTTTCTTATGACAAATACAATAGGAAGGTAAATTAATATTTAAAGAATTTTTTCAGTATTTGTAGGTGTTTTAGCCTTGAGAATAATTAGAAATGTCATGTACTCTTATACTGTCAAAAACGCCGGCGTCTCTGTATTATACGATTATTGTTTCGGACTTAGGAGAATAGAAACTCATTATTATTACTTATTAGACGTGTTATTTTGATAAGAAATGTACTTTAATGAACGAGAAATGTGATGATGGGAAAACATAAATATTCCTTGCCCCACAAATCTTTAAATTCGACACTGGCCAGTTGGTTAACATCTTTTTTTGTGGCCGATGGCCACTTGTCCCTTCAATAACGCAGTCTAATAAGGCGTTAGCGATGGACGCACGGGAGACTGTGTATGGTTGGCCCAAAGTGTAGCCGTGTTTCGCCGGTGTCTGCACTGCGTCATTTTGTCGTCGCAGAGGGGGCTGTCGACGCGAGAGGGGGAAACTGCCCCCTCCACTTCACCCCGCGACCGCTTCCCGGCGATCGGCCACCACCGGTCGCGCCGTGTTGGCCAACGGCAGCTGGTAACGGGGAGTGGGGAGTAGGGACAGCGCCGCCGCCGCCGCCGCCGCCGCCGAGGGTTTTTCGGTTTTGTGTTTTTTGCACCGTGGTTACGGATAGTATGATACGATCTGACATCTGACGCTTTCCGCGTACACGGGCACCATGTCGTACGGCAATGTTGTTCTCGCAGTGCCGTTCGCATGTTCATGATCCGTGAAAGTTCGTCGTGTTATGTTTTCAATCCGATGGGCTTATAAAATCGAAGAAATCACAAAATGGCGACAAGCGACGACGAACCAATGCACTTATACGAGGTGTTCCAGAACTGCTTCAACAAGATCGCGAATAAACAACCAGGTTGGTGTCGTCACTTTGTTGCCGCAGGGCCGGAGGTGTACAGATGCACGGACCCGCTGGACGTGTCCCGGGCCATTTTTTATATTTAATTATTTATTTTTTTTTTTATCACCATTACATCGCCCCCCGACTGTCCGTCCACCGACGCGTTTTTGCACGTCCCCGCGTCATCGTCCTCTCGATGGGTCCAGAAATTATTCGCGTACGCAACGCATTTTGCGGCATCACGACCAAGCTCGCTCCGCGGCACGTCCAGCCCCGAAATACTTTAACCCGTTCATATGTAATTTACTAGGCCCGTGAACGCGGATTAAGCGACAAATGTTGTGATGCGATCTGTTAAAATGCGTATTCACATGTTGGTTTTCATTACAACACGTTTGATTGCTCCTATTTAATATTGTACCCACTCGTATTGTCATTATTTTTTATTCCCGTGATTATCTCTTTGAACGATTTTGATGGCGAAAACGAATTGCCAATATTAAGTTGTTTAGCACATCTAGGTTTCCTACCTCTATATTACTTATGCTCAACACAATACTGTGATTAAACAATCTTCATTTCCAGTATCGAGCAAATACTTTTTGTGCTTGAAGGCCATATTTTTCAACTATGAAATCTGTTCACAAACCTTTGCCTACCATATCATTTATATTCATACCCATTGCTAAATAATATTTTGTTTGTATCTACCTAACCATATTTATTATTGGTTGTGACTTGTAGCTACATTTGTGTTACTTGTCTATACAACTTCCTAATATTAATCAATTTGAGTTATTTATATTTAATTGCCCTGTAAGTAGTTAAGTACATAATATTATTAAAATGTTTAGAAAATAATTGATTAACAACATCATTAGGTGTTTAAAATTTTTGTTATGTACCTACTATTTTTATTGTTTAACTGTACCTATTTATTTTAAATTATGTTGTATTGTTATAGAGGTTACAAAATACACATCAGCCTTTAGGTTTTGTGTTTCAAAATAAACTTTATTTTACTGCAGTGTTATTTTAATTTTATGCACTGTACAATACCTATTGGTATGGTTATTTTTTAAACATTTTTTTCCAAAATTGTTTTTTAAAAATATTTCATACATTTTACAAAAATCACTTAAATTCAATTTTAATTTGAGATTTATTTAATTTATTGAAATTTGTTTATCTGTAATCAAAAAACCTATGAAGTTTGGTTGAGTAAACTTAGCCTTAAATATTTTGAATGGAACTTATGATACCCGGTTTAAAGAGAACAGTATCTAATTAGGTACCTTATTAAATTATTAATTCTTTAGATAAATATACATCCAATGTAATGGGTTGGATTATATAGATTGACCAATGTTTAAATCCCAATGCAGTTGTTACTACACAATCTTTAATATCTTACTATTTATTATCATAATCAATTTTAAACTGAATTATTGGTTGATTGACCTATTATCAAGTTTAAATATGAAAAACATTATTTTAATGATTTAATTGTATGTTTTTTCATTAGAATGTAGTTAATTATAATTGCTTATTAATAATACCTTGTGTTTTTATTTCTGTTTCAGAAAAATCTGGATTTCAGCCTCCATATAATATAGAAAATGGAATGGTATGTTGATCTGTGTTACCTTGTATATCATAATTTTCATATTTAAGTAATAAATCTTAAGTTTTTCCATTAGTTATAATTACAAATTGATATGATTTGTGAGTTACCTCTAATTTATTTCAAATCTTAGATACTAAATAATATTTTCTTTAATCTTTTGTTTGGGGTACTTCAATACTTAATTTAAAATGACAAATAAATAAGATACAAAAATATCTGAAGATATAACAATTTTTTTTACTAAATATTGTTTTAGGCATATGGTAATAATTTTGCATCTGGCCCCGAAACTTTCAGCCCAGATTCTCCATATTTTCCATTTGG